ACATAGTTTGGTAGGTCCTACTGTGTATTGTTTGGTATTGTTCTGTAAGGGAACATAAAATACAATACCACATAGTTTGGTAGGTCCTACTGTGTAGTGTTTGGTATTTGTACTGTAAGGGAACATTAAATACAATACCACATAGTTTGGTAAGTCCTACTGTGTATTGTTTGGTATTGTTCTGTAAGGGAACATAAAATACAATACCACATAGTTTGTTAGGTCCTACTGTGTATTGTTTGGTATTGTTCTGTAAGGGAACATAAAATACAATACCACATAGTTTGTTAGGTCCTACTGTGTAGTGTTTGGTATTTGGACTGTAAGGGAACATAAAATACAATACTACATAGTGTGGTAGGTCCTACTGTGTATTGTTTGGTATTTGTACTGTAAGGGAACATAAAATACAATACCACATAGTTTGGTAGGTCCTACTGTGTAGTGTTTGGTATTTGGACTGTAAGGGAACATACAAGAGACCCATGGGCCTTAACGGTCACCTGACATATTTATACAGAGAGTTGATTTTGTTTTTAACATGAACAGAAATATTATTCAAAGTGACAAAAAATAATAAAACTACCTTATTCAATACCTAGCATACAGATTTAAGACTGAAAAGTATTTGAAACTAGCACCTCTGATTTTTCTAAACTAGGAAGATGAAGAAATTTTAGCACACTGACTCCTTTGGGCCCCACCCTACAGCCCTTGGAGGTAGGGCTGGCTCAAAATTGCCAACTCAGGGTTATAATTCCAATCAAGTTATTATCATGTAATATTCAAAGCATCATTTGCCATTATAAACCATAATAAATTTTGCCATCTACCATATCTGGGTCTTGAGAAGAAGATTTTTGAAATTTTAGTAAATTTTACCCTTTTTGGCCCCGCCCCTCAGGCCCCTGGGGGCTGGGGACCAAATCAGCCACTGTTTTTGTTGACCTTTGGCCATGGAAGGTTTCTGCAAAATTTCATTGAAATAGATTCAGGGGTTTTGGAGAAGAAGTCAAAAATGTAAATTGTTTACGGCCGGACGCCGGACAAGAGGCGATCGCAATAGGTCACTTGAGACTTTGTCTCAGGTGACCTAAAAATACAATACCACATAGTTTGGTAGGTCCAGAAAAAAACAACATATTTTTGTTCCCCAACAGCATTTAATAAGTGAGCAAAACAGGACCAATAGGCCTCCTGTTTTAAATTAATATTGTGCCTAAGAATATGACTGCAGAAAAAAAATCCCAATTTTCTATTTGAACAGTAATTGTAACACTTTTGTGATCTTAATTAAATCTGGATAGAAAGAATAAAATAGAGGTGATATTTGTTGTTTTCATTGGAGTGCAATATTGCATAATCTCATCGACAATTCTCTAGGGGAACAAGATTCACCACACAATCATAATAGAATGTTGGGTAAAGGTCAAATTTATCTATAGAAGCCAGGTAGCACTACTGGCCAAACCTCATGGCCTCATACTTAGTAGGGTGGAGGCCACAAAATAAAATCAAAAGTAAGAACTTACCCCCTTTTCGACGTCACAGGTCAAATTTGCAAAGAATTCCTTCAGATAACTCGAAACATTAAGGATGCATGTTGTATGTGGCTTCCTGGGATGGAGAACTATGAGATTTGTTCAAATACATTACTGTTTTGCAAACAATTTGGTATGACCTTGACCCGCTTTGCAGGTTAGAGAGGTCATTCTATGTCCGGTGAGGGAGAGATCTCCGGCCTCCTGTTACATCTTCTTGGTTCTTTTTTTTACAGTTAATAAATCAGTTTTGCACATCTTCAGTCATATTTTGCATGGTATCCTTGGACATAGACTTTTTATTTATTTTAATTTTGATTAATTTTCTATTATATTTTCAGGGATTGGTGTACTATCTTATGACAAACATCAAAACAAACAGATGTGACTGCCTGCGCTAAATTGGACCAAACTATCTCAAGAAACAACCATCAAGACAAAAGGGAGTTCCACCTATCAAAACCCTGGTCCACCAGTCCTCCTGGAAAGACCTACTGTTGGGTCTTATCACTTCCGAGTCCTGGTCTGTCAATGGTCAGCCAAAGCTATTGAAAAATGCGAGTAATATTGAATCTAAGGTGACTGGAATAGAAGCCTTACGATGTCGTACAGAATGTGTTCAACCCCGGACTCAACACCAAAGTAGATAATGGCCCCGAGTGTTCTGGTGCCGTAATCCTGAATATACTCAACCAAGTGTTTTGGAATTCTGCTAGGTTAGACATCGGAGATAACAGCAATGTTGGGTAACCCGCTGGGCGTGGTTATCATCGTAACAAAAGGAAGGATGTTTGTGTTGCACAATTATCATCGATACGTAGATAAGGATGTATGCATTAAGTAAATCTTGTTCATCTTGTGTGCAATGATCGACTTTCTCCCAATGGAGAACACAACATCCACCAAGTGTGGATCTCTGTTGATTGGAGCCTTGACAAAAGACCTAGTTACCTCCCCTGATGTGGAAATTTCCACAGCCCGTCCTACGAAGGATTCCAATGATGCACTGTTTTACATCATTACTGTGCTGCTGTTCTACGCCTGCAGCATAGTGATCTTGATGGTGAAATACATACGGCGGGAGAAACAGGAGGCAGAGTTCAGAAATTATTTCCATGAATATGTCCTTAGGGACCAATTCCGTCAGCCTCAGTATCAAAATTTATCGTACATGTGCCATTTAATGAAACTGCCAACAAAAGGTAGTAGTAAAATGGCTCCAGAGCTCAGTCCAAAATCTACAGAGAACCACTTCAGCCTGGATCATGTGGATGTTTTGGAAGAGAAACAGAAATTTCTTAATGAAACATCAGTTTAGCATATGCATGTTGTCATGTCAGTAAATAAATATGACTTCAGTGCTTTTCTTATAATTTATGGCGAAAATATATCCTGTCTTTGTGTAACGTGATTTGGAGGGGGATATTTTTTATACAGCTGAATATCAAGGAAATATTTTTCCTGGCTAAACTTCAGTTTTCATACAGGCTCTACAAAATTTGTGTGATACATCTAGGGGGAGGGTTTTTTGCCTACCATATTTAGGTCGCAGTGGCCTATGTTTTCCAGTCCACTGAATGTTAAATGAAATTTGTTTCCGAGCCATGATTTCCTCAACATCTTTGACAAAGTCTGTGGTGACGTGGTGTGATAGTCTAGCTCTTGTCTTTCATATATGTGTAAGCAACTAACGATCATGACTTCTCGAAAAAATCCTTGATTTCAATAACCTTTTGCAGGAATGTTCCAAATTGGCCAAAGACAAAACAATAATGTGAATTATTTAGTTCATGCCCCATTGGGAGTCGGAAGGGTAGGACCAGATTGACAAATACATCTGGTCTTCTTTTCACCCTGAAATCCTAGAATCAAATACTGTCCGTGGGTGGACAGGTATTATGATGCTATGATTACTCGTGTCCCCCATTCCTCCCTGGAGAGTGGGGGATACTCCAAACAAGGAAGGAAACACCTCCATAGCATGTAAGTTCAATGGTTCAAATATGAAGAGCCTGACCAATTTGTTCCAATCCCTTGAGCCGAAGACGGAGTCATCCTCGATATCCAGGGGTTACGCTCACTTTTGCTCCCTGGTACACCCCTGGAATATGTCAAAGCAAAATTGAAGGCACGCAGCTAGCTATTTGATTGGTGTCAGGTAAAAAATCCTTACCAATCACTGGGCTGATGCTTGTACTTTGAAGATTACAGAGGAGCAACACCCAACTTCAAAGCCAGAAAGTTTTACCGTTATGCACCTGCGGGATTCTTTTGATGTACATCAAAGGATCAAACTAGCCTTCTCCTCTTGTTCACAAGGTGCTGCACACTAAGCCTTCCATTTTGCTATGACATATTCCAGGGGTGCAGAGAGCTAAGGTGAGCGTTACCCCTTGATATCAGGAGGCAGAGTGGTGGAAACCATATCATTTCCTATTTTGGTCTTTCGCCACAGAAGCTTCCCACAAACTTTGAGGATTGGCCACATACAAAAGGTGATACACAATACATCTCAGGTGACCTAAAAGCATCATTTATCCTTGAGGTCACGACGAACATAACGTGAGGGTACCAAGGTTGGACTTTTCATATTTAGGATGCAGCACTTTTTTTTGGCAATATGAATGAATGGGATCTATTCTTAAACAAAACTCATAGATTTCAGCAATAGAAGCAGTTTTGTTTGCCTACCTCTTGTAATTTGCTCAATTCAAAAATTCAAAAAATGAAAATTTTCCCAGCAAACGGTACGATGCCACAATATCAATAACCTTTCACATGCCTTAACATGGATAATTTTTGTTTAAATAAATGTTTTAATGACTGAAATTTATCAGCAAATGTCAAAACTTTCTTGAAGTGAAGAGAATATTTGAAATGTATTCAATTATTTTCACACAATAAATGATATGATGAGGTATTCCATTTTGGGTACCCGGCAAGCTAAAAATATTCCAAGTGAATCTTGCTCAATAAGATGAGGTCTATAAATAGACATGAGTTGGTGATACCCAAGAAATACATCAAATGAAAGTTAAGTGTTGATATCGTTTCATTAGAGTAAAAAACATGGGTGTTCCAGAAACTAGATTGGAAATATAAACATATATGTTTTTTTTAAAAGTGTTCCATTTTGAATACCCTCACATTATCCATGATTATGTAACAGGAGAGGAAATAGACGGATGCTCTACCAATTGAGCTACCTGGTCGCAGAAGATCGACCCAGTCTAGTTCCGCTACATTCCTCCCTCCTTTTTCTAATTCTTCGCCCTCGAAGACACAACTATTGACAACTCTGGTTCGGGTATCCCCATACACCAAATGCTTGAATCAAACCAGCTGAACAGGAGTTCAAAACTTCAAAAAAAATTGAACCTGTATAATTGAAATATTTTGTTGCTTTATCTCTACAAAATGCATTATTTAAAAGATCATATAAACCGTATTGCAGCACTATAACTTTGTGCTGTATGTGGACAGGCTCCAAGTTAGGTGATAGCAAATAAAGAAGCAGGTTAAGGAGTTTTGTTTGGAATTATATTTCCCTCTTCTGGTCAATAAATAGGGACAAACTAAGTATCATTGCTAGTATGTCATAGGTCCGAATGGCTCAGCAAAGTGACTCAAATTAACTCATTATGTTGGCAGTCAAACTCAGGCTGAATAATCCATAAATACGTTTCCTAGCAAAGTTTGGTTAAATTTTATTTTACCGGTACTGTGCTACTTAAAGTTATCAGTTATACAAATGTAACAGGAGAAAGAGAAATACAATGGCAAGACCAGAGTTGAAACCCCGGACCTACCAAACTCTAGACGGACTCTCTACAAATTGAGCTACCTGGTCACCGACAATCAATGCAGTCCAGATCCGCTTCACAAAGATCAATTGAACAGTCAGCAACTCCATTTAAATGTTTATAATTTGGTTAAAATTGTGGGATACTCGAGGACTGCATTCAGTTTGGTCGATATTTATTGCAGTATAACTCAAAATTGTAATCAGAAATGAAAGAAATGTGGTCACTGGCTTTACTTTTTGAGTTGTTCAATGTTGTAATGATGAAAAAGTCAGGATCCTCGTGTTACTTCCAACACTTTTGTTATGTAACTGCTTAGATGCCCTGGAAATTGGTAGAAATTCTTCGACATTTATCTACAGGTTCAAAAAGTTGGATAATGACGGCATATGCAACAAAATGCTGCTACGTAAACGAATATAACAAACAACACCATCACATTGGACCCTGTCGTACCAATTGAACAACTGCTATATAAACAAATATAACAAACAACACCAACATATGGGACCCTGTTGACCAATCAAACAACTGCTACGTAAACAGATATAACAATTGACACCATCATATGGGACCCTGTCGTACCAATCAAACAGCTACATAAACAAATATAACAATTGACACCATCATATGGGACCCTGTCGTACCAATCAAACAGCTACATAAACAAATATAACAATTGACACCATCATATGGGACCCTGTCGTACCAATCAAACAGTAACGTAGAACAAGAGGCCCAAGGGCCTTAGCGGTCACCTGAGTTATATCATAGGCACTGGTAACTTTATTTTATTTTTTAGATATGATGTGGAAATCAGCATGTAAACTAAGTGAAATACAATACTTGTCATGTCATCAAAGGATAAGAATTTTAATATATTGGTAAATGTTCCCTTTGGGGCCCCACCCTAGCTCCTGTGGATGGGGCAGGAATTCCAATTTTACAATGTAATACCCTCATCCATCAAAGATAATTAATTCTTACCAAGTTTGAATAATTTTCTGCTGAAAATGGATAAAATATACCCAAAAGTATTATTTTTACCCCCTCCCCAAGCGGGAACAGATGGCTAAGGGGTCCTGAAATTGACAATTTCAATAAAGCTCCTGATGGTCTTTCTATCCATGCACTGAAATTGACTGTAGTACCTCCTAGTCTTTAGGAGAATTTTTTTGAAATATTGGTAAATTCTCCCGTCGGGCCCGCCCTGGCCCCTAGGGTTGGGGTAGGAATCCCAATTTTACATTTTAAAACCATCTTCCTCCAAGGATAATTCTCACCAAGTAAGAATAATTTCCTACAGAAAATTGTAAAAATACTCATAAAGTGTTATTTCCCTAAGTAAACTTTACCCCCTCCCCAAGGGAGAACGGATAGCTCGGGGGTCCTGAAATTTACAATTTAAATAAAGCCCCTGACAATCTTTCCATCCATGCAGAGAAAATGACTAGTACCTCCGAGTCTGGAGAAGAAGATTTTTGAAACATTGGTCAATTTTCCCTTTGGGGCCCCACCCTGGCCCCAGGGGGTTGGGGTAGGAATCCCAATTTTGTAGCCTCATCTACCACGTTTGAAAAAATTCCATCCACTGGTTCTTGAGAAGTTGAAAATGTAAAAAGTTTACGCAAGACGGACGACGCACGGAAAGTGATCGGAATAGGTCACTTGAGCAAATCTCAGGTGACCTAAAAATAACAAGACACCATCACATGGGACCCTGTCGTACCGATCAAACAGCTGCTATGTAAACAAATATAACAAACGACAACGTTGCAATGTAAAATTTTGTATTTTTGACAAACATTTAAAAGTTTCAAGTAATACATGTATTTGTATGGTTCTGAATGATAGTGGTGTTATGGACAAAATAGATATATCCTGCTCCACATCAGTGAACATGTGGGTCACAGCATATTACTTTGGCAAATGATAAGTACATAAGGTCATTGTTTCTTGGCCCATCATTTCATATATAGTGAAAATAAACATCATCACACTCTAGAATTGGATTATTCAGTTTCTGATGGTGCTTGCTGATCAATAGATATATTTCTTAAAAATAAACTTTACACTTGAGAACCTCACATTTCTTGTCTTTGCTTATCCCTCAAAGAAAAATACTGGTGTACTCACATAAGTTATAATACAAGAAACATATCAGTTTAATGTTATATCCAATTACAAACTTTAGGAAATTATTGCATAATTAACACAATTTTCTGACCTATCACCATTGATGGATTCACAACCCATTCTGTATATTTAGTCAGGGATGCTGGTGAACTGTTGGAATAGCTTCACTTCATAAAATTGCATTCATAATATTTCAAACCATTTTATGCTATGATGAAAACTCACAAAAATTTCTTACCATGAATTTAAAACAGAGCAAATTCATGAAACTTCCCTGCGAAAACATTTTTCTCCCAAGGAAGACGAAACAATTTGATGTAGCCAATAATATATTATTCGAGGTTGAATGTTATGAATGCTGTTCTTCGAACATTACAAGACATGAACGATCAACTCAAGCCCTTAAGGAGAGTTTTATGATAACGATGCTAATCATGATTATTATCAACATTTACTACAATTCTACACACTTTTCTTACACAACTACATCAATTGCTGCCCATGATTCAACTGTTATAACACCCTCTCGTATGGAAAGTTATAGACTTTAAAACAGTACATTGGAATATAATTCTACAGCTAACCTTAAAAAGGTCTTCACATCTACAAGTTAATGAACTACAAATAGCAGAAATATTTCTGACAGTTTACTTGCACATAAAACACGGACCGGTACGGTGTATTGATGTAAAAATGTACATATTCATGGGTATTTACAATTACATACATGTACAACACAATTTCTAACACTTAAAATAACATTTTAATAAAAAAATAAAATCAATTTTCAAGCTCTCACAGGCTTTGTATTGTAGTTCCATTCAAATAGCATATTTGTTTGCCCTTTATTTAAACTAATATTTTATTAAAAGTTATGTTATCAGATGCTTTTTATGACTTTTACAATCTATTCATCAAACTTATCTTGTGCAACAGTTACATGGACAGCCAATAAATCCACTGAACGATTCTATATTATAAGTAGCCATTTCTGTTAGCTCTCTAACATCCTCAAACACAAATCTGATACAAGGGAAAATCGCTGGTTTGGCTGTATATAACATTGATATTAAACATACAGAGGATATTGAATGGTTTTCTGTTAAATACTGTATGGCAGAATACCTGTACCTAAATTTCAAAATGTGCTATAAGCACAAGTGAAAATATCGGTATGCTATTCACAGGCAAATCCAATAAATGGATAAATGGTCTATTTATTTTATTTTTAAAGTGCAACTATGAAAATATTAAAGCATCAAAAAAAGTGCAGGAATTAATAGAAGCGTAATATTGGATGCCGTATTCTAAATGACATCATGCTCATACAGGCGGCTTTGTATTGGTTAACGGTGCTATCAGTCATATAGTAAGCTAAATATTGTTGTGTAGGTAGCAAAAAGGTATCAAAACAATTTATTCTAAATGGCATTGCTTTATCTGTATTTAAATAGAAAATGTGTGGCTTTGAATGCAGTGAATAGAGAGAACGTCTGATTGGTCAATACTAAAATTGATATCCTCCTACCGTCGGACATCATGTTTGATACCTGTCCTAGTGCGAAAGATAGCAGTTTTATCAAGTTGACAGAATCCATTATCTCGCAGAGAAAATGTACTAAATCTGTATTTGTAATACTAAAAGCACATTTACAGATAGTTTAGACAAACTTTGAAAAAGTCAATACATTGTAAAAAAAAAAAAAATGAAATAAAAATATGAATCAGCTGATATTAATTTGGATAAAAATATTTGTTTTCAAAAGTACTTTAAAATACATTTTAATTCAATCTTCCAAAATCAACACAGAAGAAATTCCATACTGCACTGTTCACAATATCAGTACAGAAAAAGCAGCTATAATCCTCCCTGTTCTGCAGACTTTTTGAGGTAAAATAGAAATTAGTTTTACATCAATTTTGTTAAATTATTTATGAACTTTTTTGTAACTAGATGTAAATGTACTGCACAAAACAAGTCATATACTGGTATTCGCACATTAAATTCTTTTCACTTTTAAAGTTGATCACCTTAGATTTATTCAGGTTCATGATCAATGATATTCCATGCGTTTTATACATTTCCTGGATCATTTCTATGACGACGTGATTGACATGAATTAAATCCGATAACGGCCCCAAACTTCTCAGTGTCACTAAACTCCGATTAGTTTTACCTAGAAGTTGCTCCTAAATACAGCTTGTTTATACCGACATGTCGACATCGTAGCGAGTTCCTCTGAGGTGGGGATGAAGAAGAGAGACATGGCCTAGGAGATGCTTGAAGACTGAAGTGCAATCCTCAGAGGAACAAGCTAGATATCTTCTGAATTCCTGTATCCTATCCCGGGGCCGTAGCTCCAACAACGTCGTGGATGAAGAACTTTCTTGGTGTATTGTCAATGGTGAGCTCTTCTCAATTGATACATCACGTTATTAACTGCAATTGAAATCATATTTCTACTGTATTTATATTAAAACATGCATCTTGTTAATAAGCATGATATCATTTATACATCTGACGAATCTCACTATAAAGTGATAATTAGGATGAATCTCCTCTCCGTGTTAACTTTAAAAGATCATGATAAACATTCAGATTTGAAAAGAAAAAGGAGGTTGGGTGACACTAGTAGTAAGATAGACAGAATTTCGAGGTTTAGAGTGAGGTGCGTACACAATCCTTCACTCTGGAGAAAACACTGAGTTTAAGATAGGATCTCTTGATCATTTGTAAAAGAGAGGAAACTCAAATTAACTTTAAAATCAAGAAAATTCTGATTGTTCATTTAACACTGGATATGGATCAACTGTTAGATCCTGGGACCTGCGTCCTCAATACTTCAAAGGTTATGCTAACTTTCGCTCTCTGCACCCTTGGAATATGTCATAGCAAAATTGAAGGCATGCGCCTAGCAATTTGATTGGTCTACGGTTAAAAGACCTGACCAATCGCTATGCTGATACCTGTTCTTTGGAGATTACAGAGGAGCAAAAGCAATTTCAAAGCCAGTCAATTTTACTGTTGCAAAACTGCAAGATCTTTTTATGTACATTAAAGCACCAAACTAGTCTTTTCGTCTCACCCACAAGTCATGTTGAGCCTTCGTTTTTGCTACGACATATTCCAAGGGTGCAGAGAGCAAAAGTGAGTGCAAACCCTGGAGTATCGAGGTGTGAGACCTGTAGTTCCCCGTTATCTAATGACGTGTGAGACCTGTAATTCCCTGTTATCTAATGACGTGTGAGACCTGTAGTTCCCTGTTATCTAATGACGTGTGAGACCTGTAGTTCCCTGTTATTCAATGAGTTGTGAGACCTGTAGTTCCCTGTTATCTAATGACGTGTGAGACCTTTAGTTCCCTGTTATCTAATGAGGTGTGAGACCTGTAGTTCCCTGTTATATAATGACGTGTGAGACCTGTAGTTCCCTGTTATCTAATGACGTGCGAGACCTGTAGTTCCCTGTTATCTAATGACAAGTTCACACAGTCACATTCTATAATTATAATTCTACAAATATGTCTGTGTGCTGGAGGATCAAATGAACCACTCAACATACATTAGGTTGTGTATTAAATTACATCTCTTGCCCCCTATCGATCCGATTCTTCTGTATCTTACCTGTTTCACTGTCTTCTTTATGTAATCTTTTCTATCCGTCAGGTCAAATGCAGGATATTTCCCATAAACCTACAAAATGGAACAATCTGCTAGTATCTAGGGATCGACGAACATAATGCATTTCGTTGTTTTATGTCAGAAATCTCAATAAATTTATCTAAATGGACATGTCAAAATATCTGTTCTGATATGCAGACTATTGCTTTCTATTAAATGTTCTTCATTAGTAATATTAAACAATATTCAGTAACTTGCATGATAAAATTCAGTTTTCAAAACCAGACACAAATTCAGTTCATTGAATCACAAAACCAGTAGAATAAATGCTCTAACAATTAAAATTTGCATGTTTTGCGTTCCGTTTCCTTTACCTCTTTAATTACTGATTTCATAGTGACTTCTTCAAGGTTAGCTTTGTCTAGTATTTTCTTCACCAGTGTCTTTAAATCATCATTCTAAAATAAAAGTTTATCATGATTATGTCATGTTTTCATTCGTGAGCTAATTAAAATATAAACAGAACCCAAAATATTTTCATATCAACATGAAAGCATTTCCTTGCCCTCAACTCTGTATGATATTTCCCCACCCCGCATTCTCTATCTGCCTGACAAGATTCCACAGTCCCTCTACCCTGTATGCTATTTCCCCACCCCACATTCTCTATCTACCTGACAAGATTCAAGTCTCTCTACTTTGTATGATATTTCCCCACCCTACATTCTCTATCTGCCTGACAAGATTCCACAGTCCCTCTACCCTGTATGCTATTTCCCCACCCCACATTCTCTATCTACCTGACAAGATTCCAGTCTCTTTACTTTGTACGATGTTTCCCCACCCCACATTCTCTATCTGCCTGACAAGATTCCACAGTCCCTCTACCCTGTATGCTATTTCTCCACCCTACATTCTCTATCTGCCTGACAAGATTCAAGTCTCTCTACTTTGTATGATATTTCCCCACCCCACATTCTCTATCTACCTGACAAGATTCCACAGTCCCTCTACCCTGTATGCTATTTCCCCACCCTACATTCTCTATCTGCCTGACAAGATTCCAGTCTCTCTACTTTGTATGATATTTCCCCATCATGACATATATTCCTCCAGAGACTATTATCCAGTCATAGTTACCATTCCCTTCTCTGGGAAATACTCATCAATTATGGACTTCAGTTCAGGTAAATATGTGGTTATATGGACCTGAGAAAGTGATATTGACCAAGACATAGTCAAGGTAAATATCACTTTCTCAGGTCTATATAACCACATATTTACCTAAATGAAAGTCTTTCATTGTTATATTAGATGCTATTTGTTTTAATTTCTGCAATAATTAGACATTTCAGTAACATATTGCATCTTGTGACCTTTGACCTCATTACCTTAGAAGTTTGTTACAATATAGCCTGCATAATTGGCTACAATATTCTAAGGTATATGTGTATACAAAATATCTACTGTTTCCGAGATAATTTGCCATTTCAGTAACGTAATTCATTTGTGACCTTTGATCTCTGACCAAACGCCCTTGGAAGCTGTCAGTGGAGTAGATTGCATTAATGCCTATAATATTCTAAGGTATATGTGTATACAAAATACCTACCATTTCTGAGATATTTAGCCATTTCAGTAACGTAATTTATTCATGACCTTTGACCCCATGACTTCAGAAGAGTAGCTTTCAATTGAGGTTAAACATGTGTGTTAAGTTTCATCACAATCCATGCATAACCCTAGGAGGAGTAGGAGGTACAACTTTTTGTCTACAGACAGACGGAGGGATGGACGGACAGACAGACAGACAGACAGCGATTCCAGTATACCCCCCCCTAACTTCGTTGCAGGGGGTATAATGACAAGTTGCACAAAAGAATCACAGACATTCGTCATCAATATCATCATTGTCATCACTGAACATACAGTTAAAAATGTTTATTGTTCTATATACTTACTGTTGGGGGTGCTGGTTTTGCCTTCTTTTGAAGTGGTTCATCATCAGAATCCTCACTGTCCTCCGAGTCGGAGTCAGACACTACTGGAGCTGCAACTTATGAATTATGTTAACATTTACTTAGGCATCATCAAACTGATAAAAAAATGGGGACCAAACATGTACAGTTATTTCAGCAACCACTTGATGTAAATGTCCATAAAATAACTTAAAAAATAAATCCACCTGTGTATAAAAACAAGTTTTCTGATCAAGCAGGTTTTTCATTCGTATTTTTCATCACTAGTTATACAGTAACATAATAAACTTTACTACATGTGTTTTGATTCTTAAAATGTACAATGTACAATACCTTTTTTAGGTGTAACCTTCGGCTTTTTTGTTTCTTTCTTAGCAGCAGGTTTTTTGGCTTTTTTTTCTTTTGGAGACGTTTTCTTTGGAGTTTCTATTTTTCGCTTTTTCTTTTTGGGAGCCTGGATTGCAAACATAAAGGAACAGTTACATAAAATCAAAGCCTCTCTACTTGAAATAGCAGTGACTCTAAGGATCCTTGTCCCATTGTAATCTAGTTTTATGTATATATAGTATTATAAACAAAAGATCCAAATTGTCAAAGCAGATTGGCTGTCAAGACTCCATCATATATGTTTCTGTGTTTTAAATACTTTAATATTTTTCACTATTGAATTGCATATAATATTGTTGTTTTGCTTTCATTGTTTGACATTTCGAGAGGATTAAAACCACACTGTAACAAATCTTGACACAAGCATATGCAATGGGAATAGTTGGTGTAATACGATAACTGATATTAACTGTTTTCAAATTAATGACAAAAGGTCAGGGTTTTTTCTAAAATCAAAAACTGTAACTGACAGAACAATTACCTACTGCTAAGCGATTATCTCCCCTACACTGAGCCACTACATTAGATTAGGCAGTGTTCATAACAGTATTTTCAGCTAAAACAGGATCTTTCTCATGTAAGTTCACTTCTTTCATTTTAAAAATATTCCATAACTCTGAGAAATTTTCTTCTTCAAAATGAAAATAGCTTTAGGAAACAAACAAGAAGTCTCTTTAAATTCTGTAAAATTCCCACATTAAAACTGACAATGCCACTTGTATTAACATGGCTTTCTTCTATAATTCTATCATAATCAAAGCCACAGGGAAGTGCGGGTGGTAAGTTATGGGTTTCTATTTGGAAAATGACAGTATTTTCGATTTCTCAAAGAGGTGGGATATGCTAATGGCAAAGAATGAGGAAAATGTATGTACCTTGTACAAAAAATAACTCAGGGAACTAATTCAAATTGCCTTAAGGAGTTGTGCATGATCCACTGTTGACTTTATATAGTGGACTTGCCAGATTAAAAGACCAACTTCACAACTTTCATCTTTTCCATGTAGTAGGATCACCTTTAATGTTTATGCCCTAATAATTGTACAAACTTTTAATATATTAGTTTAAATAAACAACAGATACCTCCTCCTCCTCCTCCTCTGCAGATTCCTCCTCAGAACTCTCTGATTTTTCAGATTCCTTTTCTTCTACTTCCTCATTACTTTCCTCAACACTCTCATCCTCGTCATTTTCTTCCTCCTCCTCCTCTTCATCATCATCATCATCTTCCTGTGCTTTTTTTGCATTCTTTCTCCTTTCTTCCATCTCTTTTTTTGACGCTCGTTTTCGTTTCACACCCTTTTCTTTCTTTGCTGCAGCTCCTCCTATTTTCAACATTTTAGATATAGCATATCGTATTCAGCTTTAACGTGTTAATTTTTCACATTGCACATACTTGTGCAGCATAAACATTTCAGTTTCTGCCTTAGATTTCTAGCTCTTCAGCAGTTATATACCTACTTAGGGACTAAAATGTCCTGATATTTCAGTAAAAATCCTTCACAGCATTACGTAAAACTTAAATGCCACAGTTTTTAAGATACGTTATGTAATTCAGTAGACTAGTGAAAGAAGGGCATACTATTCTTGATACATTTATTCTCTGAAACTGTACATTTTTTACTCTGCTTATTAAGGGTCCAAATGCTTTCTATTATCATGGAACATTTCTGCGCCACCTGTACGGTTTCAGCCGGGAACCCTGCACACTTATCTTTTTTTTTTCAATTCAAATTACTACTTCCAAGGAAGAAAACTCACTTTTCCGTTTAGGTTTAGGAACCTTTTTCCCAGAATCTTTTGGTTCCACACAAAAAGTCATTAATCTTTCTATAACTTGCTCTTTAGACCCCTGCCTTTCCAGGTCCAGTATTCCACACAACTGTTTTAACATTGCCATTGTATATCTACAAAAGAAAACACGTCTTAATACACACAACTGGTGATTTACATTCTGCAAGCCTTCTTTTTTTATAATTGTTTAAATAACACCAAAATATTCCAGTAATACGTAGTCTATGTACCTTTATATATTTGTTTAGCAATAGAGTACAGTGTAGTGTTTGATAAGAGAAAAGAAAATGGATGGTACTTAAAGAAGACCGAGGAGACATACAAACAATACAGGTGACATAACTCTCATCTGTATAGAAATTACATTTGAACTGTCAAACTCTTGATCTCAAGTGCAAGTATAGGAATAAAGTTGATATGTAGCCAGTCACTTGCTTTGGACCTTCACATTTGAAAAGGCTCATGTTCTCAGCCTCTGGCTGAATCAAGAATTTTATTGACCCCCCCCCNCCCCCCTCCCCCTGTATATATTAAATGGTCATTCAATAACATAATGCATTTCATTTCACAACAGCAACATTTAAAAAGTTCCCAAATGACCTCATTTTGCTGGAGATTTCTATTTTAAATTGGACCCAGCGTCTATTTTACCAAAACAGCTACAACAAAAGTACAATAACTGCTGAACAGTTTACAAACAGAAATGGATGGTGGCATCCACCCAGGATTGTCAATTTAACAAGGCAGAGTAATGCAATCAAATCAGTCTCCCACCTTCAGAAAAACTTAACATTAGAATTGACCAAAGGGCAATAACTCTGTAGATTACAGTGAGATGCAAAATCTGAGTTCAGAATGTGATACTCCAGGATCTTAGGAGTTACTCAAATACAAAACCATTTCTCTATAGCTTAAAGAGTATATATAGTATATACATATGCCTCAGACAATGTGATGCACAGACAGACTGAATGACAGTAATACTAACATCCGGGCCAACAAGAATGATTTGAAATAACTTGTTTCATAATTGTTGTAAAATAAATAAAGTTTGTATTTTTTAAAAACAAATATATGTTACTACATATGATATTTATAATGTTTTGAAAATTTTCCTCAAAGTATCGTTGAAGCCTTCATTAAAACTGTGACCATGTATATAAAATGAACGATGCTTCATTTCTCTTAATCGAAGCAATGATGCCAAGTTGCAAATATCTTATCATCTTTACGTACTTGATGAGTGAAGCAGCCTTTTTCTCATACTCTTTGTCATCCTTTTCAAAGTTAAACCCATTGAAGTTTCTGAGATTCTTCTTTACAGCATTGGTCTGGAATATGACAGGAAAAGATGAAAATGTATACATACGATAAATATGCAAGTCCGTGCAAGAGTGAATATGTACATCCGCGCAATAAATGAGTGATTTCCGATTCGTTAGAAAAACACAAGTGTGTGGTCTGGCTTTTATCACATACCTTACGTATTTGGTTGATTGATACAAAGATTTTATAAATTTTGATATTTTTTGCAAGTACCAGGAACTTTTCAGTTCGCCATGAAAATGGATTCCCATAAAAAGTAGTTCTGGCTAGTAGGTAAATACAACATTCCGTATTGCACATGTGCAATACAGAACGTTGTATTTCGTGGTCTGAAAATTGCTTGTATTACTATAACAATATTCAACAGGTATGTGATAAAAAAGTTTATTTTATCAAATAATTGTCTCAAAGGTAAGATTAAATTTGCAATAAATAAATTATAATTGTAATAATTGTTCTATTTTTTCCTTAAATGCTACATAGGGATCAGCATGCTCACCTTGCAAAAAAAAAAGTTAATATGTACTTCAATAACATGAAAACAACTACACTTTTCCTTGAAAGGTTGTGGTTCCTTAAAAAGACTTTAACAAAAGTTTGTTTCACTGACAATTTTTGATACAATTTTGAATCCGAAGTTCGATCGACATCATTTTTTTTTATCAGGTGGGACAACAGACAGTACGAGCACTGCAAATATCGCAGATAGTAGATGATAGAAGAGAAAAGAAGTTTAATCAAGATGACAGCATTTAAGAAGATCTAAAATAGCTATACAATGAAAACATAGCGTCCTGTATTAAGAAAGTAAATAAAATTAACGGCTACATTAATTTTACAAAATATTAAAACGAGAGACACACTTGGATCATTCAAAAATTGATTCCTTGATATCATAAAGTTGATTGATAACGAAATTAACAACCACCATATATTCAAGTTTGAACATCTTTGAAGTTGGTCGAGTCTGCTATGTGATTTCCATTTAAAATTGCGATACGAAATATGGTTTCGCCAAATTATTGATGTCAAAAATGAATATGCTCATGTACACAAAATGATTATGCAGCTACGTATACAGTATAGTTACTTAATGATACTGACGTTAATCCTTCATTTATCTGACGTCCATGGTCAGCCGACGGCTGTATAACCACAATGAGCGTGGACCGCAGCCTGTGCCTCGAGACATGTGGATAGCAATGCTGGTTTGATACATAGGTAAAATATCTGTCAGGCGTGATGATGCTGAATAGATAGGATTAATACTATGACCATGAGAGTCGGGGACAAATGTTTGTTCGAGGAATATGAGGTATTCGAGGAATAACGATTTGACTAATCCGGGGGTTACTTTACAAAGAGAATATGTACGAACTTGGTTCGGACCGAACGAACTGTTCGATGAATGAGGGGTATTCGAGTAAACCGGGTTCGAGGAAGTGGGGTTTTACTGTACATAAATTCACCCAAAATGATGACACACACTGAACTGGGATGGGACACAACTGCCATGGGCGACACTACATACCCATCCCCTTTAAAATGATAAAGCTAAACAAATTTATTACTACCACTTGCAAACAAAAATTCAAAACTTACAGCACCACGTAATCCGAACAAAAATCTATGCAATACTTTCAAATCATCAGCTTTATTCTTCTGGATCTGCAACTCAACTGAAAAAAAAACAAAAAACATTTACAATATATTTTCTTTTAAAATCAGTTTTCATTATATATCATAAGTATGGTAAAGTCAGAAATAAACTGCTATCAGAATGACAGCAAGGCTACAAAAACTGAATATCAGACTTGGACATTACTAACTTCAGGAAAATCAAGAATTTGTCCATAAATGAACAAATCAAAATGTTTTGAGGATAAATTGCACGAATTATTGAAAATGTATAAAAATACCTACTTCTAGGACAGTCCCCCAGTTTCAAACCAGCACCATCAAACTCAATCTGCTTCTTTTCTTTGGGTGTTGCATTGCCAGATATATCTAGGCGCTCCACCTTCTTTTTCTGTCTCTTTCCAGATTCTATTACAACCGGCCGCTCTAGAAGTCCAACTATCAAACATAAGACATGAGAAACATCAAAATCAAATTTGGCATAAATACATTATAAATGAACCAAAAGGAGAATAAACCATTTCTGTACTTGATTTCTTGTCCTTGTTTTCTGAACAACATGTTTACATTAACACCAAATTAAACTTACGTTTTGGTTCTCCATCACTTTCATCCTCATTCTCCTCCTCCACCTCATCTTCAACTTCTTTTTTGGCCGCCTGTTTCTTTTTCTTCGGGCTTGGACTTTTAGTTGTGGATTCGTTTATAGCAGCAGTCGAGGATTCCAGTTTTGTGGCAGATGGTTCTACATCATCTGAGTTCTCATGATTTGCATCTTCATCACTGTCCGATTCCATTTTCTGTACATCATTATCTTCTTCCTGTCAAGCAATTAAAGACATTTGACTTAATTTATATTCCAGCATTTGTAATATTCTTCATTTTGCCCTCTTGTTATCAGAAATACGAGTATGGTTCACAAAAATGTGGATAGGTATACACTTAACAAAACATTTAAGTCATGACACATGGTTTGAAACATGTACATGCAATTTAAGTTTTACATTTCCATATACGTGTATGCGTTATCTTAAGTTGAACATGCGCGCAAACAACAAGTCTCCGAAAAAGATACAATGTTGTACACTGCTTCTGAAATCAAGGACGACACTGACCTCAAACGTTCTATCGACCAATCGACGTGCCAGATGCAGCGAGTGACACGCTGAAACAATCGTTCGGTTTGTGGGAGTGGTCTTTTTGAACACGGCTTGTTGATGCCGTAACGATTTTGATTGTATACAGAGTTGCACAAGCCCTGCTATGCAGGTTTGAGAGGACCAGCTGTTTTCCTCTAGTATTGCAAGCATCAGAGCTGGACTATTGCAATATCTCAACTGAGGAATATCCTAATGAAGTTTCCCTTTAGTTTTATATTAAATGTTTAATCCCTATATTTACTGAAGCCAATATTGTATCTTTTATGTCTGGCCCAGTTGAATAAATTTCAAAATTCATTTTGTGTTAATTATATACCGGTTTTAAAGTATACAAACATCTACACCTGCCCGGCAACATTTCTAAATGAACAACATGGAGTATTATATGAAGATGTTTTGTTCTCTTATTTATTGAGCTGGAAACAAAATAGAAAAGTTGCTGTTATAACGTAGTGAAGTATACATTTCATTATATGCAATGAAGCACTGTACATTTTCACAACAAACCTGGCGGTAAAGCGCATTATGCCATGCAACCGTAACCGTTTCGTTATTTCGTCATTGATGTGACTTTTATTATGAGTTTCTAAGTTGTAATGTAATTATTGCTATTTATTTCGATTGTATACCTCTTTGGAAACGGGAGAATTCTCTCTGTCTTCTGTGTCCGACATTGTACGTTTTAAATTTTCAAAATGGCGGTAAAGCGCACCCACAAGTTAACCAATCAAGTGCCACGACAGAAAATATCTGCTAAATGCATCATACTCTGTTATTGGTTGAAATCAATTGTACATTCATGATCACTCAGGCCTTTTCATCCTCAACACCATGACCCTAGAGGTGATCCGAAAAAATAAGCGTCTTTCCAATCCAGATTTTCCCGGTTTTTCAGACATGTGTTCTTATTATATGTCCAAAACAATTTAAGAGTAAAAGACACAATTTACCATTTATTATAATTTTAATTTAGCAGGTTTTGGTTCAATATCGGAGCCATTTTAAGCGTTGGTTATTTCCGATGAAAATGTTAATAAAGTAAAACAATAAAAATAATTTAGCCCTGATTGTTTACAAACATCTGTTTCACCCTGATAAGTTTTTTCATAATGTTTCAGAAGTCGATGTCAGTAAACAATACAGAGGAAACAATCACTAGGACGAGATGAACAAGGAAAATGATGAAGCCACTGTGTGGATATCGTCACTCTGTTCATGTGTTCTTGGATTGTGATAAATTGATTATCTTAATGACTGGAAATGTGAAGGTATCTATTTTTATTGGTTTTGTAGGCACACAGCTGGTTTTGATTTTACAAAGACTACAATGGCCTTTTATGATGGCAAGGCTAATCCTTTAAATCGGCTAATCGGTTGAATGAACATGTTGTTCGTGAAAAAATGTAAGACCACATTGAATGTGTATTAATTAATTGAATCATAGTTTCTTCATGCTGACGTAAAAAGTGACGTAGACAATCTGATAATCCACGTATGTTGAAGGGGACTACAAATAAAAAAATATGCTGTTTATTTCCTATGCTGCCAATTGACCCTTTATGAAAATGTGGATATTTTGATAATTTCTAACATTTTATCTTCGTATATATATATATATATATATAAAATGTGTCGTGTGTGTTGCCGATTATATATACTGTATATATAAATATTAAGATTCTTCAGAAAACTTTGTCTTTACAAAGAAGTCCAAAACTTCAATGTTTCTACCTAGGGATTATTAATCTCCTTGTAAATGTTATCAGGTTTAGTATATTCAAATTTTCAGAATATGAACACTTTAATTAAATGCTGGTGATATTCTGGCGTGGACCTATCAGGAAAGTTCAAGGATGATTTACAACAGCATGCCCATATCTTTCCCATCACAACCTCAATGATGTGACATCACAAATGTGAACATATCAAAAATGTTTCAAATCTTCACGTGCTCTTATGCCTGCTAGTTGTTGAAACTAAACTCTACACTGTGAGATCATCTTATAGAGATAATGATGAGATCAGTAAGTTCACTTTTAAAAGAAATCTCCCCATTCTTGGGGAAGAGGGTTGGTGGTTGGTGGGAGGCACATGGGGTAATAGTGGTACTGGTAAATCTTTAAATGACTATATATGTTTCCAGGTTTAATCATTTCAATCAACTTGCAACATTTAGCATCTGACATTCTTCTACCACAAGCCCTACACCTACGGATCGCGGGTTTGAGACCTACGTAGGGCAGTCACCAGGTACTGGTCGTAGGCCTAGGTCGTTGGGTTTTTTCTGGGAACTTCGACTTTCCTCCACCTCCAAAACATGTCATTAAATTACCATAGATGTTTAATAGGATGTAAAACACGAACCGATTAAACCAAACTGAAGCTGTATTTAGTTTTATAGCAAGTGTTATTTTCCTTTTTTTAACAAAAACTGTGATTCTCTAGCCAATTTCTTAGATTTTTAACCGATTCCTGAGATTCTTTTCCCAATCCTGATGCTATTGGTGTATTGATCCTGTATTTTGTGGTAATACTTGCATGTCATCACATATTGTGAATATTGTGTGTATAATTAGTAAGCTATAACATGAACCTACATATGCCTGTCCTATCAATATTTAATATAACAAGAAAATAATAGTAGAGGATGTTAACCTTTCATGATCTCAACAATTTTTGTTCCAGGTCTGAGAACATCATGTTGACATTGGATATATCTGGATTATTCATTGGGAAGTTTTACAGCTGATAGCTGACTCTTGTTCACGATGCAGCACCCGAACACCAAGAAACACCTTGCCAGTCTGAGACAGGGATGGGTGAAGGAAAAAGAAAAGTCGCTCCCAAGTAAACTCACAGATGCTGTATCAGATCAATCGTGAGTAACATACAGTAAAACCTTGATATTATGCCCCTTGTTTAATTTGCCACCTCACTTACCGCCAACATATTTTAAGGTATTTTTATTCTTTTTGTGAAGAATTTCTCTATATGTTTACCTCATTTTATCGCCAAACCCTTTTATATTGCCAAAATTTCTCTGGACAACTGGTGGCAGTATAACGAGGTTTAACAGTATATAATTAAACTCAGATTAGCCAGGTCAAAGTGATCACCGCAAAAATATTTGACTCGTCCACGGCTTCCACACGACCAAGATTTCCATTCCTGACAAAGTGTAGATTTCAACCTCATATTTGAAAAGCATTATGGTGTAAATATGTATACAGTCCCATACAGTCCACTTATTGTGTAAATGGTTCCAGGCCTTTGTATTTGTTCGAGATATATATCAAATACAATGTACAAGACTCTAAGGATCAATTATATAAATGTATGACACTTACAGTATACGTAATTCAGAAATGCAATGACAATAACGTTAATTGTAAAACAATGATTATTTGTATAGTACTTGAGTTTATTTGTATTTTGTACTGCAAAATTTAATTTTGGCAAGAAATAGATATTCGTCCACTTCCCAAAATGTCAATTTAACGATGCGTATATATATATATAAATGTCACATATGTTGAAATGACAGCAAGGTTCAGAATGATAGCCAATTATGAAACTGAATATTTTTGGTCGTAAACATTCGTTTTTATGCACACCTTAGTCAAGATTTAGAAAAAGATATGTAGTTCACAGACTGGAGTCACTGACTGCACCATGCAAGCTACCGTACATGTATGGGGCATAATTCTGATAATTCTATCCAACTTGGGTGTCCCACATGGCAAATGTGTATCTTGCACTTGAATTGTAGCTCTATAGGTTGGGAAAAGATATTTGAATAATTGAAAGTTTGAATATTAGATCAAGGTTCAGATAATCAATGTTCTACTGTAGGCTGTAGCAGTAAAAATAACCTGTTCATGGGTGAAACTTCTGAAATATGAGTACAATGTATTACCTTCCAGGGTATGACAAGACGGTATGTTTCTGGGTATTTACCAAACTTCTGACCTATTATACATTATTCGATTTTATAAAAGATATAGTTCAACCATGGTTTCACACTCTCTAGATGTCTTTGCTGTTACATCAAGAGATGTAGGTGTGTATACGTAGCACACTGTAATTAGATCATGGTGACCTATATTTGACGGTCTTTGATATAGAATATCAATAGAAATTTAACTAAGTCTCATGATCAGTGACCTACATTTTGCACTCTACCAGACAATAAACAGTAAATAAAATTTATGTCTGGGACATAATTTCATTCGATCTTGTACAGGTTAACCAGTCAAGTATCTGCTTCACGACCTTTAGAATATTCAATTCCAGACCACACTTTAAATTTCCTCATATTTTCATACACATTCGCTTCAACTGCTGATATTATATCAAATATCACTGATAATTACATCTATCAGACAGCAGTGAAAGTTTTCACTCAGCATATTGCATAACTAGGTCACAGTGTCTTATATATTGAGCAATAAAAAAAAATGCTTTCACAAGATGAAATCTAGCTTGCTTCATGTAATTTGTCATATCCAGTTGTTATTCATTTTAACTGTGAATTATTGAATGCCAACAGAAATTATATCAATGCTCATATATATAAATGTATGATACATATTTGTATATTTCTTTCCTCCAACCAACTTAAAGTTAATTAACTGTTATACATTATTAGCCCCCTACCAGTGAACCGGGGTGACTATAGGTTTCCTCTACGTAGGTACGTAACAACAATGTTTGTCAGCACTCTAGCGGCTTCATTCCTATAATTAAGGGATTTTGATCAAACTTCACGCAAATACAAAAGACCATCAAATCTTGGACAATTTTGAATTTCAGGGTTGTCTGGTCAATGTCAAGGTCACCATTGCTATTTTTAGAAAATCCTTGTCAGCGCTCTAGCGGCTTCATTCCTTGAGAGATTTTGATCAAACTTCTTACAATTACAAAGGACAATAATATCTCTGACAAGTTTGAGATTCAGGGATGTAAAGTTGAGGTCAAGGCCTCCGTTACTTTTAATACAAAATCTTGGACAAGTTGAAGCCAGTGATGGACTGATGATTGGTATATAATAATCGAACATCGATCGATTTGTCCTGTTCGATTCCGATTATCGATAACAAATTCCATAATCGATATAATCCGTTCATTACTGAACTTAAAGTGTCAAATGTGTATGTATTAAATATACAGTATACATGGAAATTCATTTATTCTGATTTTTTTTTACAATATGATTGATGGTAATGTAGAAAAGAAAAATTACATTAAAATCGGTTACAAGCTAATTGTATACTTTTCATTTTCCCAAATGAACACCAAAGGGCATCATTTTTAGCTCACCTGCCCGAAGGGCAAGTGAGCTTATGCCATGGTGCAGCGCCCGTCGTCCGTCTGTCGTCCATCTGTCCGGCGTCAACTTTTTACTTTAAACAAATTCTTCTCAATAACCAAAAGGCCCTGGGTACTGATATTAGGCCTGTATCATGCTGGGATGAAGGGCTACAAAGTTTGTTCAAATAAATGACCTTGACACACTTTCAAGGTCACAGGGGTCAAATATGTTAAAATCTTCAAACGACTTCTTCTCAATAAACGAAAGGCCCAGGGTACTGATATTAGGCCTGTAGCATGCTGGGATGAAGGGCTACCAAGTTTGTTCAAATGAATGACCTTGACCCTACTTTCAAGGTCACTGGGGTCAGATGTCTTAAAATCTTCAAACAACTTCTTCTCAATAACCAAAAGGCCCAGGGTACCAATATTGGCCCTGTAGCATGCTGGGATAAAGGGCTACCAAGTTTGTTAAAATGTATGACCTTGACCAACTTTCAAGGTCACTGGGGTGAGATGTGTTAAAATCTTCAAACAACTTCTTCTCAATAACCAAAAGGTCCAGGGTACTGATATTGGACCTGTAGCATACTGGGATGAAGGACTACCAAGTTTGTTCAAATGAATGACTTTGACCAACTTTCAAGGTCACAGGGGTCAAATGTCGAAAAATCTTCAAACAACTTCTTCTCAATAACCAAAAGGCCCAGGGTACTGATATTGGGCCTGTAGCATGCTGGGATGAAGGGCTACCAAGTTTGTTAAAATGAATGACCTTGACCAATATTCAAGGTCACAGGGGTCAAATGTTTTAAAATCTTAAAACAACTTCTCAATAACCAAAAGGCCCAGGGTACTAAAATTAGGCCTGTAGCATGCTGGGATGAAGGACTACCAAGTTTGTTCAAATGAATGACCTTGATCCACTTTCAACCTGATGTCCTTGTTCGACATTCAAGGTCACAGGCGTCATATGTTTAAATCTTTTAATAGGTTCTTATGAATGAAACACTGATATTCTGCCTGTAGCTGTATTTTAGTCCACTTTTAAGATTACAAGTATGAGATTTATACCAGGTGAGCGATGCAGGCCCATTGGACCTCTTGTTTATAAATCATTACAGTGTAATAGCTAGCGGGGTCCAGTAGGGGACATGTATTGGTTTAGCAATACTCAATATGCTTATTTTAATATAGTTCGGTCCAGGTTTCAATCTCTCAAGATCTAGATTTGTTAGCTGTTACATCGAGAGAAGTAGGTGTGTAGCACACTAACTAGATCATGGTGACCTATATTTGATGGTCATTGAATATCAAAGGAGATCAGTTTCCAGGCCTTTAACTTACCTTATGTGTTTTAACATCGTGATGTGACTGTTTATAAGTTAGTCTCAGTGACATATGCATACATTTTGCACTCTACCTAACAATAAACAGTAAATGAAATTTATGTCTGGGCCATAATTTCATTCCATCTTTGTACAGGTTAACCAGTCGAGTATCTGCTTCACGACCTTTAAGAATATTCAATTCCAGACCACACTTTAAATTTCCTCATATTTTCATACAAGTTCAATTCGAGTGAAAGTTTTCACCTCTCATATTGCATAGCTAGGTCACAGTGTCCTATGTATGGAAATTTAAGGAAATTGTTTTGACAATTTGAAATCTATAGCCTGCTTCATGTAATTTGTCATATCCAGTTGTTGTTCATATTGTAGTGAAGTTATCAGGGATGGTGAAAATACTACATGGAGTCAGGCCCCTGTGCTTCGCAATGTTCTGCAGTAACGTTGTAAACAACCGCTTTCTATGGCTTAGTTTTTGCTGAATATCACTTGGAAAATTATGGCAATAATTTTTTATAAGATGCTATGATTATTAACTTCCATTGCGAAGCATACAAAACATTAGAATAGGTATCAGTCATTTTAAATAAATCAAAGTTTAACTACCCTGTTGCAGCCGCCATCTTTGTATAGACAACAGCATCAGCACTTACATTGCAAGGTACGATAATCGGTAACTATAACACCATTCGTGGCAAATGAATGAAAATCTAGAAAGTCTGGATGCTTCTGAGTTTAAGCATAGTCATATTTTGAGTACTCTCAACCAATTTGTCTAAAATATGTGATATCCGCCGAGTCAAGTCGAACAGTCCCTCGCTACAACTTCTCGTTCAATGTATAGTGGTGAGCTGCCGTCTGCTATTGGCGATATTCATTACAAGATTTATGAATGTTCATGTGATCATTTTACGAATGTAGACATATGACGAAAGACTTTATTTACTTGTATCAATGTGTAAAAGCCAATAAGAAGGATATCATATGTGCATTTGTAGTGTGCACTACATTAACAAATAATTATACAGTTCAGCGCATGAATGAGTGAAGCGGTTACATATCCTCGAAGTAAAAGTAGTATAGCATAATCTCTAAACCAAAGTCAATATTTCCTTATATGAAGATTGGAGGCAAGTTTGGAGGCACGGAGTCTTTAAAAGGCTGCCATCTTCCTCATAGCTTGAACCGCTGGTATCTGCAGGTATTCTTATACACCGTA